ACCATGTGATTTTTTTCCCCTTGTGGTGTTCGATGGCTCATTTAGAATATTTTTGCATTCATCTAAGAAAATGAAGCTCTATTTCAGTTCATTGGATACCACAGTCCGTAGTGCTGTATCCTAAATGCCCAGACTATGCATGGTGGAGCTTCATGGCTGGAATGGAGGAATGCATGCACTCATATGGAATACAAAGAGTTTTTCCTCTCCATACCTGTGAAAAATCATAACTTTTTTATGGGGGCAATATTGTATTTAAACTAAGTACATTTATTTTAAAAAAGAATTGCAAAACTAAACTAATTGAAAGATGGAGGCAAAATTCTTGGATGCCAGGGAGTCATAAATCTGAATTGTCTACTAGATACCCAAAATAGTGTACACTCATAGAAGTAGCATTTGTTTTTCTCCAGGGAAGAGGTTATTCTAGGTGAAGTGCTGAATATGTGCAAAATGTATGTAGCCAGAGAAAACTCTGCATTGCTACATCTGCATATACCCCAAATTAACTTTGACCGAAAATTTTACTACAACCACCGAAAAACTGACGACCCTCGGAAGATGTGTGCAACTTCAGATGCCACGTATTCCTAGTCAGGATGCCTATGGAGGGTGGGAATTATTAGATATGGTCCAACATAACTGAAATACAAAGGTTAGGGGAGGCTGGCATAGTGAAAGAGGGAAAATCAATATGTCTGCTACAGAAAATAGTGGCCTGTTCATCATCTCTAAATTCCTAATAATCAAACATTCAGACTTGAGATAATCTATTATTTGGAGGGGTCCCTAATAGAGAGCAGCAATCAGCACTATTGTAACCAGGATTAGTTATCTTGAAGGCCCAGTTTTAATTTCCTATAATGCCCCAGAGCAACATTACATTGCAGCTATTCTGGCCAATTAAAATTGCACTTTCAGTGTCTGAGGATACAGAGTGACAGCCTTTGAGGTAGTCAAAATAAAAAAAACAGACACAATGGAAATTCCAGGAATGCTTTTCATCGCTGTAGGGTAGAATAACTGAATCTTGACAACCTGTCAGAGTTTCTCTCTGCCACATCTTATACCAAACAAAATCAGGGCAAGGTTATTTGAGTTTCTTTCTCATGCTTTCCTCTTTCCTATGAATGAGTAATCTTCTCTGAAACTCCCCCCTTAATAGTTCACTCATTCCTTCCTTATTCCCAAGGCCAGTTTACATTCCTTCACACAGACATCTGCTACTAGTTTCTTGATCCATAGCTTAGACTGTCCCCGTTTTGTTCTGTTTGGTTATTCATGGTATTCTGGAGCACTAGCTATGATTATAACAGTTTTCTGACAAATATTTTGAATATGCTTGCAAATTGCTAAATCTACTAAGATGTCAAGGAACTGATATGAATATTGTTACCCTGATGAAAACTCTTATCAATCTGTAGAAGGGTCAAGATAATGAATTTACTTCTATTGTAAAACCAAAAAGTGTTCTGTAAATCAGATATTACCCATGAAATCTTACTTTTCTTACTGGCACTATACCCAACACTTGGGTATGGACATCTCATGGTGTGGGAGTCACATTAATTTCTTTTATAATTTGTTTCTACTATATGTTATCATAAATAATTGTAGCTAGGTGAACATGCCAGTTGCTGCTCTCTTCTTTCCTACTAAAGTTTAGGGGCTTCCATGCAATGTCCTCTGCTTCCTTTTGAATGAATATTTTAATTGAAATATAAACCCCACCACAAGATTGCTTCTACCTGGATTCATTGAAGCTGGTGAATGGCAGCTTGGATAGTCGGTTCTCAGGCATTCTCAACACTTGGGCAATCCGTTTCCATCACCTGATTTTTATTAAGTCTGAGATGGCTACTACTTTACATTTTCTGCAGATGTTTTCATTTTCAGATTATTAAAAATTTGATATCAAGAATGCAATATAGACAGAGGTGATCAGAAACATCTAGGTTTCCTTTTTATCATCTTCAATCTCATTGGCGTGGTCTCACAGCCATAAAGAAAAGCTGGTCATACTGTTGCATGATATATTTGGACCATGGTGCTATGTCATATCTTTGTGTTTCCAGAAGGTAAAAAGGACCCTGGATAATCACTTCAAGCAAGATGTCACTTCTTGTGTGCTCCACCAGTTCTTCTTACTTCAGTTCTGAGGTACATGAAATAATCACTTGTTCAGTTGTTTCATTTCCTATTTTTATTGCATCACTGGGTTCCCAGGTTTTAGTGGGAATTATCCAGAAGCCAATTTTGTCAGCTTTAATTGCAATACAACTAATCATTTCTTGTAAGTCTTCCTGATTGCTGAGTAGGATGGCCACATCATCAGTAAAGGTTAAATCCATAATTACTAAACCAAATGGATGTGTAACAATGCCACCAACCTTTCCATTCAATGATTAAAATACAAACCATGCATATATTAATTAAAAGCGATGAGAGGATGTCACCCTGACAAACTCCAGTTGAAATGGAGAAGCTTGACTCTGGTCTCCATATGCTCTGCTTTGACAGCTTGTAGTCTGACAAAGGGCTTAGATGATTTGGCATAGTTTATGTGGTACCCCATCTACCAGAAGCATTTTCCATATGCTGTCATGGTCCACAATATCAAATGCTGCTTTAAAATCAACAAATGATATATTTTCTTGAAAGAACTCAAAACCAATTCCAGTAGATAACAGATTGCAAAGATTTGATCAGTGCATCTATGCCCAGTTTTAAATCCAGCTTGCTTTTCTCTCATTCTTTTAGCCCTTTCAGATAGCAGTTGACTGAGAAGTATTCTTTCCATAATTTTTGGATCCCATATTCAGCAGAGAAATATCTCCATAACTGCTACAAGAAGGGTTTTCCCCCCCTTTCTTGGGTGATCAGATGATAATTGTCATTTCCCATCCTTCTGATGAAGTTTCAGTTTCCCACATTTTCCTGAATAAAACTTAAGGTCTTGGAACCAAAGATACCATAGCAGTTTTACATATTTCTGGCCTTGGCTCATCTGAGCCTAGTGCCTTTAAGCATCTAATGACTTTTTAGATTTCATCCAGTCTTATTGAACCTTTGTCTACAGAGTATATTAATTTTTCTACATGTGAATTATAGTTAATAGTACTAGCATCCAGAATTGCTGGAGCTGGACTGTTCAGAAGTTCCTTGAAATGTTTCTTTCACTATTCTAACTTGTCTTTTTTGTTTCACAGCATCATCATTTTCATCTGTGATAATACCACTAATAGGTGTTGTGTGTTTTCTTGCTGTTTTTTTTAATGAACTAAAATAGATTTTTCAGTCAATATTTTCTCCTTGTTTTAATTCTGCTACTTTTTAGTTGACATATAGTTCCTTATGTTGTCTAATTTGGTTTTTAATTAAACCAGCCACATTTCTGGCCCTAGATAGATCTTTACTAGCTATAGCAGTTTTCCTTTGATTTTTTTTTAGCACTTACCTAGATAGATCTTTACTAGCTATAGCAGTTTTCCTTTGATTTTTTTTTAGCACTTACCTAGATAGATCTTTACTAGCTATAGCAGTTTTCCTTTGATTTTTTTTTTAGCACTTATCTAGTTTTTTGCATGTTTTTGGTGTACCCAATCATCTTGACTGCTATACTATGAATAACACTTTTCACTATAGACAAATACTACTTGTCTACTTGCTCATGTTGGTGTCCACTTATATTCAGCTTGTATTCACATTCCTTTTGAAAGCAATAACTGAGTATTTCAGTTGGTTTATATCTAGTCATTTATTTCCATTTGATCTATATTTACCTGGATTTATTTTTACTCTAGCCTGTGCTAAAGCATGGTGAGTGATCATACTTATTCCCCCAAAACTTTGACTATCAGTAACAAAATGTGAAAAATTCTGCCTAATCAGGATAGGGTCTATTTGATTTTTTGTTTTGCCATCTGGGCTGACCCAGGTTTGCAAATGCTGAGGCTTGTGACTAAAAAGAGTGTTTGCTAATACTAGACCATGAACAGTTCCAGATTTAACAGAAGTACAGAACGATTTCCATTCCCAAGGTCTGTCCTTAAGTCGAATTTGTATGTAAGCCAGAACAGTATTATTGTATAGTGACTAAAAAGAGTGTTTGCTAATACTAGACCATGAACAGTTCCAGATTTAACAGAAGTACAGAACGATTTCCATTCCCAAGGTCTGTCCTTAAGTCGAATTTGTATGTAAGCCAGAACAGTATTATTGTATAATAATTATTGTATAAGTAGAGTAGCATTGTGTAATTAACTCAAACCATTGTGTATTTCACTCTAATCATTCTGTATTTAACTCAGATTTTGCTACAATGGTCTCTGTTCTTAACTATGAGTCATCCTTAAACTGGATGTTCTTAACCTAGGAATTATCTGTACTGTAGTCTCTATCTGCACTTTTCGCATAGGACGTATCTGCCCATTATAGCTTTACAGTCACTGTGGCCACTTTGGGCATTGAAATCACCAACAACTATTAGATAGACATTTTGGAGGATAGCTGTGATCTCTGCACCCAGTACTGAATAGAAGTACTCTGCTTCTTCATTAGAAGCATTGTTTGTTGATACTTAGGCAAAGATGATTGAAATATACATAGTCTGGCCCTGCAGATGTACCACAGCTAAGCATTCATTCATTCACTGGTTTCCAACTTACGACTGCGTCAGCAAGCTAAGTGGATAAAGCCACTCCAGTTCATGATGAGCAGATCCAGTTGTGGAGCTACTACAATATAATTTAAAGCCTGACTTCAAAGCTGGTATTTTAATTAAGGTAGCCCTAGGAAGGAGGCCATGGCAAACAACTTCTGAAAAACCTTGCCAAGAAAACTGCAGGGACTTGTCCAGGCAGTGTCTGAGAATTGGACATGATTGAATGGTTTTTTTTTTTAAATGCCACTCTTTAATCAAGAGCTAGTTTGGTGTACCGGTTAAGGCACCAGGCTAGAAACCAGGAGACCGTAAGTGTCAGTCCTGCCTTGGGCACAAAGCCAGCTGGGTGACCTTGGGCCAGTCACTGTCTCTCAGCCCTGGGAAGAAGGAGGCAAGGGCAAAGCACTTCCAAAAAATCTTACCAAGAAAACTACAGGGTCTAGTCCAGATGGTCAACAAGAGTCAAGACTAACTCAAAAACGCCAAAACAAAACTCTTTAATAGTCTTGTTTCTAATTGGCAACAAAGATTAATGTGTCTGTCATTAAGGACTTTTGCCAGTAAGTCCTGCTGGCCATTTGGAAAAGAGTTCAGACGTTTAGGGTACCTGTATTTTTGGTCCTGTATTTTTGGCCCTGAAAAAGGGTTTTGTGGGCATTTTTTAAGAGCACCGTGTTATAGACAGTTGTATGGGCTCTTTTATCTAGTGGCCTCTGGAAGCTGCTTACAGGAGATACTGTAGCATGGTTGCTGTTTTGTAAAGCAGATTTTTCCATGAGGTCTTCAGGCGGGATACCATAAGTGGGTACCATTCCCGAGAATCCACCATTGACCCGCAACTAATACTGTATATAGTTTATTCATAGCTACTACAATGGCCAGAATAGCAGTGAAATAAACTGCTTTCTGGTATGGGGAATTCCTGGATCTGCTACCTGGACAATGCACTGCTCAGAAATGGTGGACCACCTGGCAGATTAAGAGGTTTAAGTTGGTTGCCTGATTTCTATTCTACCACAAATGGGAATGTTTTAGTTTGCCCTCTTCTAATAAGCGGGTTTCCATATAGCATCCTTCTGAGCTTTTTCTTAAATCCCTAATGCCAACTACAACTATCTGGGAAATTTGTTTAATTTGATAAGTCACAAGATATGCTTACCAGCCAGCATGTGAGGTTGGTTGCAAAAATAAATTGCTTACCAAAATGGGAATGAGTGAAAGGCAAACTCCATTGTTAATTTGAAACAAATATCTGCATAAACCTATTCCAATGTATGTTGTACTTCCTGGAAATATTTTCTGGCATGAACAACTTGAATCCTTTTTGTAGTCCATTGGAAAGTTCAAGTTCAAACAAATTAAATATTCTTTTCTGTTCAAGGATTAACTTCTGTAAAAACTGTGGTGTACAAGGGACCTCATTAGTAAGGTTGGATTAGATAACCTTTAGGTTCCATTCCAGTTGTCATGCTTGTTAGGGAGAATTTTCATGTTTAATTTTTCAGGAAAATCTTTGCCCAGTGATGGTCTGTTAATATATTGCCTTCCAGTTATGTAAATTGAGGCCACTGAGTACAATGGATCCTCCTATGTACTGAACTGGATACCCTTCTCCTCCTACTTCTCGGTAGAGCATCAGAATAAGAGCTAAAGAGAATATATATTCCCAGATTATTAAGACTTTTCTTGGTTTTAGGATTTGAGTAAGGAAATAATTAGTTAATCACAGAGCAACAGAAGGGTCAAAGAAGGTTTCTGGATACCTACATGCATAATTTCGGTATAATTTGTTCGTTTGTCCTCTTTCAACTTTGAGTTCTCCAAGACAACTGCAAATAGCAGTTTGAAAATACCACAAATACCACAAATAAAAATGAATATAACTTCAAAGGAATCCATTACAATTACAATAATCGTTCATTCTTTTACAATAAAAAGCTAATTACGATACGATAGGCAATAATATCTTACTGAAAAGACAGTATAAATATGATAGTGGTATTAACATTATTGACAGGAGAATGTTTGAACAACCTCCACTGAGAAATAATGCATTTGAAGGCCCTACTCCAGATGCGTGGACTTCAGCTCCAGAATTTTATTTGTTTGTTTGTTTGTTTGTTTGTTTGTCAAATTTATAGTACCGCCCAACTCCCCCACAAGGAATTCTTAGCAGCGTTCATTCTAGCTGGGGAATTCTGAAGCTGAAGTCCAAAGTTCTGAAGGATGCTAAGCCCAGAGAAGCCTGTATAAGAGGATGATGGTTTGCATTGAAGCATGCCAGCTTTTCATTTAATTTGTTCAGTTAAAAGGATCTTTTAAAAAAGAATTTGGGTTAGGTGGGTGAAGAAAGCTGGCAGAAGAGGGTGTCAATGGGCAGCATGCAATGTGTTACCTACTTCTGATATACATAATTAACTGTCCCAGCCTAGGCATACCTACTCAGAATTATGTTTTACATATTTCAGTGGAAATTATTACAGATAAGCATGCATAG